GCTATGACACTACCCAGAAGCAAGCATGAAGAATTACGTCTGTCCAAACAAGGCAGCTATAAGGGTGAGGCTCAGTTCAAAATGAAGACACCTATATTTAGCTCTTCTTATGCAAGGCAAAATCCAGTTGCCTAAATTGTAGCTATCTCAGACTGCCTTCTAGCCTCTGCTTCAAAAGGCACAGAGATCCTATCTACAAATCTCATGCAGACTTTTTTGGTAGCTAGAGGATATCCATATTATTCATGTACGAATGAATCTCATCCTTAGGTCTTCAGGCTCCCAATAGCCAATGGAGAGATAGTACAGTTCCTGGGACAAAGGACAGCTGTTGGAGTTAATTAAATTGCCTGAAAACAGATGTTCAGGTACACATGAGATGCCTGGCCTTAAGCTTTTCATAGAGCTCTTTAAGTTTCCGGCCATTCCAGAATGATGCAGATGTCCTGCAGGTCCTCTGTCATCACTGTGAGGCCCATGCAGATGTCTCGGATGCCCAGGGGTGCCTTTAACGACACTAGAGCCCTATGCATGGTTATGGATTCAATCTTCAGCTCTGTCATTGGGAGCTTTGATAAGCAGTGCACACCTATACTTAGATGGTTTAATCTGAACATGTAGTGCATGCAAAGCATCCAAGTACAGTAAGTGAGCAGATACCAGCATCGCAAAAGGACGTTTTGATGGAAGTGAAAATTAGATTTACGTCTCAGAAGGGAAAATAATTAATCCTACTTGTTATATAAAAGCAAGGAAAATACAGCATTTACAATACAATAATTATAAGAAGTTGTGATGGAAAAACATAAATACATTTCTAGAATCAGATTAGGTAAAATGAACAATAAATTCAGGCTTGTAGCTCTTAAAATTATCATTGTACAAAAACAGTTCTCTCAAAAATATTTTTATTGCACTATCATTCAATATGAATGCCTCTCTAAACCTGCTTCAAAGGATGAATTAGCATAGCTGTAATAGTCTGGAATGAACTTTGATCTAATATAAAAAATGATAAAAGACATTTCCCACTTCTTTTCACTGGGAAGAAATTAGTTTTGGAACTGCTCAAGCTTATGTATTGTTTTATTAACTGGGACTAATTCCCAGTTTATTCCTCTATGTCCTTATGTGACCTACACTCATCAGTTGTAGAAAAGGAACAAGCAGACAAAATTGATTTTGCTTCCTAAATATTTTGCAGTCTGTGTCTGGAGCAATTCCCCTCAACCACTTCTGATGTCAGCAGGTAGAGTAAAACAAAATACCTAGGTGTATGCTGGATGTGTATTTGAAATGCTGCAGTTACATTAATGTAAATATCTCGAACACAAATTGTCTATGTGTACATGAACGTAAGTTCTTATTTTTTTCTTGAATGACAATTAATATTGCACAGACACAGGTGATTTACTCATGAAGCAGTATTCTTTCTTGTTAACACATCTAATTAACTAAATTTACTAAAATTTCATAATCACACAATTCCTCATCTTCAAAGCAACCTAAACTCTTAGAAGCCTAAGTTCTGTTGACTTAACAAAAATGGAAAGCCTCCAGCAGAACTTGGCACCAGCGTGGAGACAGCAAATAGGTGACTGAATGTCCAATATCTGGTCTCAAACACTATGCAGTTGCCTGGCCAACTGTTGGCCTCACACCCTCTCTCACAAGGAGGAAACGTGTATGGGAGTTCATGAAGTGCCAAGGGTGGATCCGGCCCCACGGCACAGAGCCAGCTTGAAGCACAGGCTCTTGTAAGGCTGAATGTAATCTTTATGTACTTTCAAGACATAAAAGCCTTCCATGTAAAAGTCAGTATTATACTGTCTCAGTAACATGCTTTGGTGCAAGATTAGCAAGTAAGAGTAATTTTTTCATGTGCTGCCGGAAGTACAATTACTGAAGTGGATTTTTAGGGAACCATGATACTGTAGATCCAGTTCCTTGGGCAAAATAGCAGATACAGTACACGTACGGAGCACATCTAATTAAGTGTATAGGAAGGCCCAAGCAAGACTATGCTGGGCACAGCTCAGTAAGTTTGTCAGGATTCACCACATGAGTGGAGTTGGATGCTCATGAGAACTTTTGTAGGTACAAGTACATTGACACATGCAAAAGAACAGAACAGTAAATGAACGGATCTCATCTAATACCCTGTTGTAAATCATGCAAGAATGGCAAATGGATGTTCTCTCATGCTGTTATCTCAAATATTCCTGTTCAACTTCTACTTTCTTGTTTGACTTTCTCAGCTGGGCATTTCCCCTACTCAGAATAAATGTGTTGCAGCATTAGAAGCAGTTTAGTGGTTAGAAATTTATTCTCAGGTCAACAAAGCTCTGTTCCCTTCACACACACTTTTTTAATAAGACAGTAAATCAGGACATATATATTTAGTATTGTGTCTTGGATTTAAGCACAGGAACACAAAACGTTCTTAATTATATGATTCTGAAGGTAAGCTCATGGAAGTTACTATTTCATCAGTATAAACAAAGTCACACAAAGGTGATGTGGTGGTTAACTTTTATCTATAACCCAGATTTTTACTGAACTTAGGACATCTGGAGCACACTTTATCTGCCAAGGATCAAAAAAACCCTCATGTGCTCTCAAACCTTGAGAGAGAATTCAATTAGTCCAGTAGACTGCATCTGGGCAGGGACTATTTTTGTCTATTGAATGAATGTACTGTAAAATGCAGACACTGGGGGGGAAGGATCAAGTCAGGACACATTCATTTTTGTTCTGCTGACCAGAAGCTGGTACACGTATCATATTTCACTGTGAAATACTGACTTTCACATTTAAGGAGAACTAAGGAGGAATTTTCAAATTTTATTTCAGTTCCTAGGTCTAGTTAAAGAGATTGGTACACAAACATGGAAAAAAATGAGTGTATAGCTTTATGCTGCAGATTCCTACCAGAAAAATCCTCTTCTTTTACCCAAATCAGAAGACAGAGGAGGATTCAAAACACATCAGATAAAGGCTTCACACTGTTTCAGCTCAATTCTAATACAAAAATAAATACTTCACGGCCCTGCACTTCCTTGCACACTTCTTGAACAGGCACGCTAATTTCCCATGGGTCATGTAGGTAGCAGAATAAAAGTATTGCTGCAAGCAGGAAATGAAAGTAGGGAACAAAAGTGAAAGCTTGATTCATTCATCGCCTTCAATGGTCAGATATATTAGGAACTGGAACCAAATTTGTTAAATGTTAAAGAAAAATCCTTAACTAGCAAGGGAGAAGAGAATCTTACAGAACCTCTTCCTGAGAACACAGAGGACAAGTGTCTGAGCTACATACATAGAAGTAAATAAACAGAAACTTGTGTTTTCCTTATTAAAATCCCTTTTTCAATAAGCAAAATGAACTTTATGGAAGAATTCTCTGAAAACTGATTATTTGAGTTCTAATTATATCTTAATTCGTCTTAATGTTTCCATTAACAACAAAGTACTACCCCTTATATCTCTCCAAGACTTTCGCAAATACAGATGCCTAGAAATTTTAAATACGCAACTCCAAGAAAATACAAAACTGTATCAGGGTGAAGGAGGATGATTATACCTTTAAACTGTAGGACAGTTACAACTACAGGCAACTATGCCGTAGCAGTTTGGTTTAGTACCATATCCTAAAACTAACACTGGAAAGGCTAATGAAACATGGCTTTCAACTCTATAGGTATTTAATTTGCATTCAGCAACACCTAAATATGGAGCTAAAGAAAAAAAATAAATTTGTGACATTTCAGAAATTTTTATTGAAAATTTTATCAGTTTATTTATAGTTTGTTGTGGAAGCTGTTTCCACCCCACTTTTTCCAAAATTGCTCAAACTGCCTTCTCTGACTTTCTCTGCTAACATTGATTTTAGCTAGGAGGTCAAAAGGGGCACCTGCTTAAGGAGCCACCCTTCTGCACCTGCTCCATATTTATAGGAGAAGAGGTGACACATTTGCATAAAATTAGTAATTATGGAAAACTGTAACTGCTCTCTCCAAAGGCCATAACAAGACAAAGCACACAAGGTTAAGATGCATTTGTTTACAGCACATCATAATCATTGTAAACAGATCAGTCTGACACAACACAAAACTCCCACTGGAGTTAATAAGGATTTTTTGTTCTAAGTGACTAAAAGACCAGTCCCAGGGCACCCACCAGAGTCAGAGTGGGTCTACAGAAATGTTCCTAAACCATTGCTGGTTGCAACAACAAAAAGCATCAGAGAAAGCTCAGCTGGACCAAGTACATTCCAGCCTGGCATTTAATTTAGAAGATGGAAGATTTGAGGTGAATAAGGATGGGAAGGGGTAGAACTGTGGAAAGCCAGAGGTACATTCTGTGGATGTGAACCCTGGGCAGATCTGTTGAATCATGAACACCACAGGATATGAATTCAGACCTTCTCCTCACTAAAAAGGCTTCTGCTGGCTACCCACAGCCAGCTGGCTGGTTGAGGGTGCATGTTCCTTTCAAATCCCTTTTACAACCTCTACTCAAGAATTTCTAAGTGTATTTCTTATGAAACTTGTTCATATTGGCCTCAAACTCAAAGGTAAAATGTTTCTTTTCTACTTCCAAATAGTTCAAAACTTAACATACGAACATACTAAAAAAGCTTGTTAAGGAAAAAACCCATCAGTTTCTAAAAAAAACCTAACAAAACAAACCCCATACAATTCTTTCATAACTTCAGTACCTGAGAGAAGAATATCCAGATATATAACACCAACATTAATCCAGCCTGTTTACACATCAGACATCTAACACTGCCTAAGAAATTCACCTTCGTCCTGCAATATATCTCAATCTCATCCAGTATTGTTACAACAAGATTAACTGATGTATTTTTCACATTTTTCATTTACCCAGGTTACTGCAACCAAGGAACTAGCATTGTCCTGACACACGCAATATAAAAATACCTGTATATATATATGTATACACACAAAGGCACAGAAAAGTATCATAAGACTTACCATCACTTGCAGAAAGTGAGTCATTTGCACAGACCAGTGCCAAAGTAAACAGCAGATGCCGAAGATCCATACCTCTAATTCTGTAATAACAAAAGACAGTAAGAGAGTTTCTTTATAAACTAATGTTACTAACTAATACGACATGATGTCTAAACTACTATCTAGATTTATTGAATTTCTGATTGGATTTAAATCAGAAGTGTATTTAGTTTGTGGTTTATTGCCTCATAAAGTCATACATCATCTTGCAGTCTAGAACAGAGAGTAAAAACTATTTTTACAAAAGAACAAGCTTATGGGTTTCTAGTTCATTTAATATAGACGGGGGAAAAAAAATCAAGTATTGTCCATCTCTAGCCTGCCTTGCAGGGAGTAGCCACACTCCCTCACAGCAGCCTTTGGGGGATGGATCCTAATGACTGACTAGCCTAGGTTAAACGTGAAAGTAAGTGTCTCTTTCAGGGAACAAAAATATGATGATCCCCTTTCTGGCTCATGCTTCTCTGAAGATGTATTCATCTTTGCATGTCATGCATAACCCTTCCAGAGTCTAGGACTGCATTCAGTAAAGCTGAGAGGAGTGATGCAGTTTAATAAGCCAGCTCCCACACCAGAAAGCCAAATGGCTGCTAGCAGAGAAACACCACATTAGTACCTATGGCCACTGCCCAAGGCAGGCAGCATGCCAGGAACAGAGAGGGCATCAGTAGCTGTGGGGCTGCAAGAATGATAGTAACCTGGGCCAATTCTCTGTTTTATTCCCTGCTGGCACCCTGCACAACCCTGAGCTCCTGCCTCGATGCCCCTGCTCTGCTGTCCTGCTTTTCAGGGACTGCCATGGAGGCTGTCTCTTTCTGGAAACTTCTACCTGTGTCATTTCTGAGAAGGCACCTTCCAAAGAACCTGAGTATGTCCACACAAGCCTTTGCAACCTGCAAGCATACAAATCTTTACAACCCAAGCATAATCCAACAAGCCTTTATAACCTCCCAAAAAAGCACACTCTTCCTTCTCCCCAATTCACCTGCGCCACACACACATATCCTGCAATCCAATCACACAATCCTGTTTGAGGGACACTACTTTACTCCTGCCATTATCACCAGCATCTGGTAATGACGGAGAAGAGCAGAAGCTGGGATGTGCTGGACTTGCAGGCAGTGTAGCTTTCTGCACAAAATCGTACCATGCCCTCAAAAGCTCATGAGGTCTCCGTGTGTTGCAGAGGGAAAACATACCTACCATGGATTACTACCTGACTGTTTAGAACCATGCCACTGGAGCACAGAGATTACTGGAGACCTTCAAAACCAAAGCTACAACAACAAAATGAATGCTGAAACAACAGTAAGGCAGCAGTTTCTTGTTCTGTGGCACAAAACTGTGAAGATACACTGACATCCCAGCTCAGTGAGGCAGTGGAGAGAGACAGAAAGTAATAGCTCCACTTTCACATTTGACCATAAATTAGTATGACAAACCTTGATTCTACACTGGACTGTTTTCAATTAGACATTTTCTTTCTTCATCTAACAGGAGGTTAAATCACAAGAGTCCAAACACCCAAGGCCACTAATGAGTAACAATATCTGAGTGGGTGTGATTGATTAACAACTGATGCTGACAAATCTGGTTATCAAAAACTAGACAGTCTCCTAGTAGAGTTAGCAAAGCTTGAATTTAGTCAGAAACTGTAAAACATAAACATGCTAAGTATGTAAAACTATGGGTAACACTGAATTTAAAAGATAATTCCCTCCTTAATTTTCTTATGCCAAGAGAACAGAGTGAATCACAGTATGGAAGAAAACGAGACTACCAACTCCAGATTTCTCATTCTGGAACACTCATGTTTAGTACGAAACTTGAAAATCAGAAGGTATTTCTCACACCCTCATTAACACAACTGCTCAATAATTCTCAAGTTTCAGGCGTGGTACAGGAGGCATTTATTCCAACTGCTCTAAGCTAGCAGAGTCTAGCCCAGACCTCCTGCCAAGGCACACCAGGATGTGCTCCCCACTGAACGCACACCACCATGGGGATGCCCAGCCGCACCATCCAGGCACCCTGCAGCCAGTCTGAGCAGGCACAGGGCAGCTGCACAGGGAGAAGAGCTGGGGTAGCTCAGGGGACCTGCCAGGCACCAGGCAGGACTTTCCCATGTTCAAGCAGACAATCTCTCCAAAAGTGACTCCCCCATTCTCAAGTGGACAGGGATGAAGGAAGGGTGTCATTGGTTGGTGCTGGGCCAGCCACGAACAAATGACAGATGCTCTTCATTAACCCCTCTCCCTTCCCAGAAGGGGAAGAGAGAAAGAATATGGGAGAGAGACTTCACTGGTTTGGAAAGAAAACTAAAATAGCTTTAATGAAACAGTAACCGTAAAAAGAGAAGAAATAATACTAATAAGAATATGATCATAATATATACACAAATATACACAAAACTAATACGGAACCCAAACACCACCCCCGCAGCACCCCGCCCCCATACGTCACCACTGATGCTGCAGGGCTGGCACTGCGGAAGTCCCAGGCTGGACTCAGCAGAAGACGGGAACTGGGCTCAGGAGCTGGATTCAGGAACAGCCACAGTCCTCCTTGGACACTAGCCATTGAAGAAGAGGGCTTAACCCTTGTGATCCCTCAGCTTTATGCTGAATATGATGTATATGAAATGGAATACTTCGCTGGTCAGTTTTGGGTCACCTGTCTGGTTCACTCTTCCTACACGTGCAACCTTTTTACTTCATTACAACCCTTTTACTTACAGCACTTCAACATGGGGCACAAGATTCAGCAGTGACCTTGGTTGCTATAGGAGCAAGCGTAAGCAAGAGCCTTTCTGCATACCATTCCTTGGTAGTAACTGTAAACATCAAGCACTATCACTGCTAGAAGCAGTCACTGTCTGGAAAAATATGCCGTTAACTTCAGAAAGTGCAGTCACTTAGAAAAGACTTAACTGAAAAGTAAAATCACTGAACAGAATTAGTTCTGTTCTAGCCCAAATGAGGAAAAAGGGGTATAGTGAGGCTGGAGGGGCATTAGTGAGGATTTGCAGTGGTGTGAGAGTGAGGCAGCCTGGGGGAGCAGGACCAGGAGCAGTGAAGGCTGCAGCTGCTGGAGTGCACAGGGCTGGGAAAGAGGTC